AGATAGAAGAGTTTGCTGAATCTGACGTGAAATGTTCGTACGAACACTTCATACGAACAAAAGTAAGAGAAATTTAGGATAAGAATACGAACATGTTCTTGCATGAGGCCCATTGTCTGGATGGGAGCATATGTTCTAAAACCTGTGTATACTCTTCTGTGTTAATGGTGCCTTTCCAATTGTGTAAGCAGCCCATAATATAGATACTAATGCACCCCCATAACATCAGAGAGGACATTTTTTCTACTGCGTGCTGGTAGCACGCTGGGTGATCCTTCTCTTTTATAAAAATATGGTGTCAGTTTTCCGTTTTCCATTTTGTATGATTAAACAAAAGCTTTGGCTCAAAGAAGACATGTTTCTGGATGGTGTTCATGTATGCCTTCTTCTTTGCATAATAGAGCTTTAATCAGTATTTGTGGATGGCACAGTGAACTGTTTACAGACAATATTATGTGGAAGTGTTGCTGAGCTCACGCAGTGATGTCCAGAACAGAATCAGAAATCAAAGTACAAATATTCTGGACATTAAATGTTGACTTTCAGCCTTGTTAGATTCCTAAAACTGTTTGACTTAATAAACTAAATTATTGAAAATGTAAATTCCTCCCAGAAAATTCATAGCAAATTGCTCCTCCAGTTGTTTCTTAGTTGTACCACTAAATTTTACAACATTTTGTTGCCCTGTCTGCTGTGTTGCCACCATTAAATTCAAAATGACCTTTTCTCTCCCCAAATTTTATTTTTTTACAATTTTTTAGTTCAAGCATTTCATGTGTTTACAGTGTTTCATTGTGAATAAAATAGCACAATAAGGTTAAAGTCATCTCACACTGGGCTAAAGGCCATGGAATAAAAACAGCTAGTGAGTAAAATTAATTTATTTTACATATAAGAACCAAACTTACAGATCAAGTTAATGTCTATAGCCAATTAAAACAATGTGACCTTCATCACATTCATTAACCTTTATTAAACCCTTCATATCTCTTTAAAGATATATTTCTTATTCAACCTTCCACACAGAGACATACAGCACTATTTATTCATTAATGCATTTTCTCCATCTACACTCACACTGATAAATTGAGTGAGTTTCTCAGCTCAGTGAGGTGCTCAGGATTGCAGGTTTATAGAAGAGGTGGGGATCAAACTGTGTCCTCCTGACTGCTATTTCCCAAATAATTAGTTTTATTCATTGCAACATCAAAAGGAACAGCAATCTTCCTGTTTCTTTAAGATTTCAAGGCCATATTGATCATTGGAGCCATGCAGTATTAAAGTGATGGCCACATTTTATTATCTCATTAGAGAACCTTATTATGCAGGTTATTGATCTCATGGTCATGAATTAGTTGTGGAAGGCCATCAGTGTAACTAACTTTTGGCCTTTATTAAAACTCCCAATGGTCCAAATGTGACTGTACAGTTTTATGGTAATTATTTGATGAGGTATGTGTTGAAAAAACGAATAAGTTAATTCAAAAGCTGAACAATACTAAATTTTCTTTAATATTTAGTTATACTAATATCACATACAAACTATAAAAACACTTCCGGAAAACGCAAAGCTCTCTAAATACCACCATAATGACAAACACTTGGACAGAAATGATTCAAATAAATAATTTGATGGTAATATATTTGACAACTTTAACATATACAAGCAAACTAAATGATCTATTTGAACACCTGATGCTAATCTGAAAACAAAAACCAAACAAAATACCATTTTTTTAACTTGCTAAGAGGCACAAACCAACAAGTTTTTTTTAGATAATTTAAATTAAATTGCCTAACATTTTTTTGCATCTTATGTTGCCATCATATTCCATGAAGACCTCACTTTAATAGTCGCTCACACACCTCAGTTAACAATCATCTACAGTTTCCTCAGGGGTTCTCAAAATACTTTCTGTTTATTTCAAGTTGTTTCTATTTGGAGCCAAAGTCACGTTCTTCTGCTTGAACCTCCTGTCATTTTTAGCTTCACTGCACAATTCAGCATATGTTCATTAATTTATTTAACAAAACAGCTACATTTCTTTTGGGTAACAATACAGGAAGACGTCAAACAACTTCCAGTTTAAGAACCCTGTTGTTCCAGTGTAAATATAAAACTTTACCGGTCTACTTTGGTTGAGWTTCAGTTATTTAAAAAAGAAAAACAACATTAAGTTAAAGCTTGGGAAGGGTTGGGTGGCTGATTTATTCCTTTTATTTTTATTTGTTGTATAGGAAGAGAAATGTTTCCACTGTTCAAACATGATGCTAATAGCTAAGCTAAATACAGTATATTTTGCTAAAGCTTCATGTGTCACGGTCTGTGTGGGTGTTTTATTTTGTTTGCTCTTCTAGTTTTCTGTCCTGTATTTCTGTTTTGTCCCTCCTGCCTGTCTTTGCTCAGCCCCGCCCACTCTCACCTGCTCCTCATGTTTYTCTCCCAGGTGTTTCTTGTTTTAGCTCTTTAGTTCTCCTTTTTATTCTGTGCTGTGTCCTCAGTCTGTGTCAGAGCTTTGTTTGTTTGTCATTCATGATCACCATAGCCTGTGTTTTTTTTTTCTCATGCCAAGTTTTGGTATCTTTGTTTTGGTATTTTGCTGCCTCACCAGCCTTTTTGTTTTGTAAATAAATCCYTTTTTTGCCGAGATCATTTCCGTTCTGCACTTGGGGTTATAAACATCCAAAGTTAAATCCTTACATCATGTTTACCTTGGCCTATTTGAAAACCTAATTACTTATTCTTAAAAATAGTGGCAAGTGTTGAAGCATTAATTTACAGTTTTAAGGTTTATACAGTGAATGAAAGGCACCAGAGGTGCAGTTTTATGCCATCAGATGTTGCTCAGCTCATATCTTCTACCACCCTGTAAAGGGGTCAGAGTGGTGTCTCTGATTAAAAAGCCACCATACATTAGCATCCATAATTTATGAGTTTAATGGGAGCAATAAATGTCGTCCTCACCTGCCTGAGGTCTGACATTGACAGACACGCTGGCTTCAGTATCAGCAGCGTTGGCAACATTGAGCTCGCAGAAACCGCAGTAAGTGGTGACGGCTGGTGACCTTGTTGTTGAGTTCACTAATCTAATATTTTCCCTCAACCCATTTGAATCTTCATGAGCTAAACAGGCGGGAGGTTGGGGGGTTGGTCGGGGTAATTTCATTTCATTTTTAGAAGCTGGAGCAGATGGCCTGAATAAAAACAGTATGTGATCTCTTGGGATAGATAATGTACACACAGACAAAAGCAGCATGTCTTGTGCTTGTAGACAATCGAGCCTGCTCTGCAGTTCAGTGTGACATTACAATTTGTTTACTTTATGGACTCGTATCCGATTGGAACAAACACATTGAAGCAGTAAAAGTGCTACATCTGATTCCTGTCAGCAGATTTGATTTACAGTGATGACTGTAATGTGCATTTATCCTGATATCAGCCATAACGTTTCTGTTCCAAATCTATAAGCATCTCACTAATCATACTTTTTGACAGTTTCATGTGCTCCTAGCATCAATAAGTATGTTTTTTATTTATGTTTTTTAATTATTTACGCAACAGTTTCTGTGTTCTGTCCATTTCTGTCTCAGGAAATTATTACGGCACGCCTCGGCCCGTTCACATAAGTGCAGAGAGTCCTCCCATCACCTACCAGGAACACCGCAACCTGCTCAGAAACTTTCGCACRCGGAGCAAATCCCTCAGCAACCTGGAAAAAGCTGCGGACGAAGGCCTAAACTACGAGGACGACTCAGGTCTGTCACGCTAACGTTGCTAAGCTACAAATTGACGACGACACCATGAATGCTAACAGGTGCTAATAATTTGTTGACTCTATATATTTTACGTTATACTGTGAGGTCTTTTGGGGTTCTTTTTGTGTTTTGCTACATTAAAACCTCAGCAGTAACAATAATAAATGATATTTGCTAAGTTCAGCACAGTATTGAATGTCTCTCCATCTATAGCTTGAGTCTCTGATGCTCAAATGAATCAGTCATTAGTACAATTAGTATGCTGAAAACTCTCAGTGGAGCAGTGGCCATATTGATTGCTGGATGATCTCCAAAAACAAAAGGTCCTTTTTGCCTTTGGTAGCCTCGGAGCTGGCGCAGAGGTAAACAGATAGCATGGGAACTGAAAAGAAAAGGGGAGAGGGTGCGTTTATCTTCCCTGAAGTTTAATGAATGTCACATCTTTTAGGTTTCAAACTGTGTGTGGGTTCATTTAGTGGCTGAACTGCTCTTTCTAGTATTTTCATAGTCTTGGTATAATCAGTTGAAAGTCACACCCTACTCCCGTGTGTTACTACACACCAGGTACACTCGAAACATTGGCTAGAGTTCAACTTTTTCTTGAGTGGAGAGCGGTGGATGAGTTGCAGTTTGTTCTTTGTGTCACTAGATGCCACTAAATCGTATGAGCTTATTTTATTAAGTTAAATACCATCAGTAACAGAAATGTTAACTATCGTGGTGAAAATCTTTGTGTGCCACTCCGGTGACAGTACACAGAAAAATACAAGTAAAAGGCACGACCGTACCTTAAGCTGAGCGTAACACCAGGGACAAGCAGCATCACAGAGTTGTGGTTTTGGCAGGCTGGGAGGAGCATTAGAGCAGACTGAGGCATGGAGCCAGAGTGCTGCAGGAGAAAAGGAAGAGGGACCCAGTGTGGGAGGCAGTGGTGGGGGGAGTGCGGGCAGACATCCAGATATTTAGAAATACGCTCCAAACAGTCAGGTACAGGGCAGCAAGCAGTCGAGACTGGAGCGACTAAAGCAGGACCAAGTCATTCAACAATCTAACCTCTGCTGAGTCATCTTTTGAAGGTGGAACTTTGTGGGCGGACGGGTAGGCAGTACTTGACACRTGCGGCAGGACTCTGGTGCCCGCAGTCTGAGGTTTCTCAGATCCATGCTGGGGTTTACAGCTGAAGGACAGCTACAAGGACAGTTAAGGGAAAAAAAGGCTTATTTTTATTCTGGTAGTTGCACGGTATGCACTGTCACACACGCCTGCTCCTTAGTGGGAGGACAAAGATGGCAGATATGTCGACCTCAGGTCTTTTTGTCTAAAAACGTTCAATGGAAAGCACAGCACCAAGTCAATATGATGCAAGCGACCCCCCCCATCTGTTGAATAAGTGATGAATGTTCATATTTTAATTGTATTCCCTGTCACTACAGGAGGCTCTGGAGGTGTGAGAAACAACATTCCTTTCAGCCGCCGGTCCCCCGGTCGGCCCCGGGCATCCAGCAGCGGAGGTGATGGTCATGTTATAGAGAATGGGATCATCGGCAGCAGGAGAGGTGGCAGAATCAGAGGGGTAATGCCTGATCACTGGGAGCAGGCTTTCAGTGACCCTGGAGAAACACTTGAAATCGAGTGAGTGTCCACTTTGTTACAAAACTGAGAAAAGCAGGAATCTGTCAATCTTTAGACTCAGGCTCCAATGAGACTGGGACAGAGGTCCATGGTAGATACATTCAGCTCAGCTGCCATTGAAAGTTATATTTAAGAAAAAGCAGTAAACGTTTATTTCTTAGAGCAGGAAACAGCAGGTAACGGGGATGGATGGATGGATGGATGATAGTTGGATGGATAGATGGATGGATGGATGGATGGATGGATGGATGGATGGATGGATGGATGATGGCTGGCTGGATGGATGGATGATAGTTGGCTGGATGGATGGATGATAGTTGGCTGGATGGATATATGGATGGATGGATGATAGATGGATGGATGGATGATAGTTGGCTGGATATATGGATGGATGGATGATGGATGGATAAATGGATGGATGGATGGATGGATGGATGATAGTTGGCTGGATGGATGATAGATGGATGGATGGATGGATGGATGGATGGATGGATGGATGGATGGATGGAT